CATGATGCTCCTCCTGTAGGAGTTAATTAGAACTTATGGATGAATAAACATCCAACACTGTGTAGCATCAGACAAAACAAACAAGGAAAACAGGACGTCCTAGGATAGCTGAGTATTTATATTCCTATCATCTGCTTATGTTAGAGGAAAGGTAAATAACCCTTCTGTAACTATACATTAGTTGAGACTGCTCTGGTTTGTTTTGTGGTGTTCCACAGACCCAAAGACCTGCCCGTAACAAGCTACATAGGAACATAAAAATATTACATAAAAAAAACCACAACAAACCACCACCAGCAACAAAAAACCACCACCCCAAACCCAGTGTCTGCTTAGTGTTTTTTCCTGGCTTTTAAAATCAAACTATTGCAGCATATGAGGCAGAGTAAGCACGGATGAGTTGTTTCCTCATGTGATGGTCAGCTGGGTGATGACTGACACTGAGACAGAACAACCTTTTCTTCCATTGAGAGTTACTTGTTGATTCACAGACAGATGTTCTCTTGATCCTCAGAGAYGGCCTCACTCTGATTTTTCCAGTAAATATTCTTTCATCTATTCCCTGACACCTTTACCAATGACAGCTTTGCTTTTTTCCATCACATTAAGATATCACCCCTTGCCACTCTGCAAGAAGCACCGCTGGGGCAAACGCTGCCAACAGCTTGGCAGCAAATGGAGCAGGACAGCCTCAGCCACCTGGAACATCTGCCTTCTGTGGGTCTGTCACACCCCCAGAGTGACATTTCAACCACAGCTGCTGCTTTCTGGAACAAGCTGAGCATCACTCGYTTCTCTCCTCTTGTCTCACACCACCCCAGCTTTGCCTCACCTCGGAATTAGAGGCTTCACAAAGAATCTCATGCAAAGCCTTGCGCCCACAGCTGCACAGCTGGTTTGTTTCCCAAAATAGTGGMAGCTTCTAAACGAACTAAACCTCACAGCTTATTTTACAAAAGATCACAGATAGGGAGTTTTGACATTTAGCTTACTGTACTCGTGGAAAAATCTCCTTCTCTGTTTTGCTTTGGTTTTTATTTGCTCATTAAAAAAAAAAAAAAAAAACCAGACTGAAATGTCTCTGATAGACACATGCCTAAAGATTGAGCCAGCTTAAGAATCAAAGAAATGGCACATAGAAATACAATTCTCACACTTTTTTCCAACTGTAGGCTCTGCAGGAATAGAGYCTGTAGGGAGTTATACCCAAAGGACTGCAGAAGACAATACATTCCAGAAGAAGCAATTTAAGAGACAAGAACACAAAGAAGTTATGCAGCTTTTTAGACAACAACTGCAGATACTGCTGACTGTGATGACACAAATCAGCTAAAGACCTCCTCATTTCCATCACCTAACATCTCTTTCTGAAGATGTAAGCACAGCAACATTTCATTACACATCTGTGAAATCAGTGAGGTGCTGAAGAATCCATATATAACTAGTGCAACACAGCAAGTCTTGATTTACTTACCTGCAGTATAATTAATAGGATGCAAAGCACATTTCTCAGCCATTGTACATACTGAAAAATGACCTCTCACCCCAATATTAGATAATTTGCAGGCACAGCCCAAAACATCATGAAAAAGAACCCCTTAGTAATTTTCACATCCTGATGCTGYGAACCTGTCCACAAAACCAGCATTAAAGCTCCACTGACCTGTGGCTCATCCACAGACAGAAAAAAAGCAGCTCAATGAATGACCCAGAGTTTTTCTGCTTTAAAGGCTGCAAAAATATGAGATGGATAGAAAACTGGGGCACTTGAGTTCATGCTGCCAGTATTCTCACAGAGTACTGCATTTGCACTCCTCTCTGCACACCAAAATGTCTCAGAATCCTTTAACAGGGATCCCTGCCAAGGATGCCCCTGGGTTCAAGCCCATGGTGTTACACACAGTTAAGGATGCCTTTCTCCAGGTGAGCCATCATGCTGGAATCATACAGCAGTGTCCCTAAGAATTCCAACATCAAAGATTCCCAACACAAGTATCACAACTGTGTTAAGTACAGTCAAATGGTAATGATCACAGAGATCACYGATTTCAGCCCTGGCCAGMAAAACACAAAATGAACAGAGAAGTGATCTGAMTACAGAGTAAGATCCTAAGTATCACAAAAATTCAGCTAGAAGCATCAAGCACATACTTTAAGAAACAGCATTATAAAGAATGGATGGAGAAAGGAATTACTCGACAGTATTTGTGAATATCATTTGCAGTTCACCTTCAAAAAGGAAAGATAGCCCCACAATTCTTCTGATGATTTCTCATGTCAGCCAAAGCGACTGGCAAGAGGTAATTCTTCTCAGCAGCATGCTGAATTATGTATCTGTACATAAGCCTTAAATGTGTATTTTAATTTCACCTGAGTAAATTACCRGTATAAATCCTACCCTTCTCAAATATCTCTGAATTTCTAATTAACTTAATATCATAATTTCCACCAGGCAGTCAGAAACGATGAATAACATATGATTCATATTCAGAAGTAAACACACCTGCTTTTCAACAACATTTCTAATTACTGGCTCATTTTACCCTTTACACTGAAGCCAATTTGGGTCATACTGTTTTTAGCTGGTGACGAGTCCTTTCAGCTCACAAATAATGCATAAAAAGTTGCTGTGTTGTCAGTTTGAAGGACATTTTCACATGCACTGTGGCAAATTGAATACATTACCAAAACASATCATTTTACTTCTGATATGCCTCACTTCCCTATGAGCTAACACCAGACAAGGCTTTGCCAAAGAATATTTAGGCTCAGATTTGAAGTGTTGTCCCATTATTTCACTGTCTTAGGTCTGTATCATAATGACTGAGGGAGTGGTAGCATACACTAAATAAAACAAAGTGCTTATTTCTAATGTTAAAGATAGCAGGAGAACTAACAAACATGGGGCTTGAATGCTTAGGAGCACTTTAAAAACGGCAGCAAACTGCAGGAAAGCCTTTACTGAGCTGCCTCCTGGCCCTGAAAGCACTACATCTTTTAGGAGAAATCAGTGAAGCAAAAGGAACCCTGCTTCAAAGGTGGTTGGTYCATCACCTCTCCACTCTGAACATTTACTCTGGCCAGAAAATGCACCTTCAGGAGACTGAAGCTGTTCTCACACAGACCTGATGTGCACTTGGCCACTGAAACACACATAAGACCTATCTGCTGAAGCTGTCAAACCCTCCAACACCCCTAAAATGTGACAAATTCTCATACACAAAACCCTGTTCATTCTCAGACCAGCTTGTATGTCAGATTTCTCAAAGTTAGCATCATTATCTTGATTTGTAGCATACTGGTAAACTCTATACATCTTCAAAGAAAAAAATAAACTGACTTGTGGTTCAAGTTATATAGATTTTACTCACAGAAGCTATCTCCTTCTGACATCTACCTCTAAATTGCTTGATATAATGAGAGTACCATACCTGCCATGCTTCCTTTAGCTGGTGTGCTAACTCATATTGCAGATCAAAACAATACAAAAGACATGAAAAACACAGGAGTCAAAAACGGTTATGTCCTCCATTTATCAATTTTAAACCATCGCTTCAACAGTTTAGAGAATCTGTGCTCTAGATATGAAAGTCCCTTTACAGCTGYAAGAAGAAAGAATGTTCTGAGATCCCTGGGTGAAAGAATCACAAGGCAGARGAGCTGAAATGTGGCCCGAAATCCTTCAGACAACTCAGGTATTGGTTTCGGAGTTCCTGTTGTCACATCCTATAGGGTGGACAGCCACAGTGGGTAGGGCTTGGAGGGGCAAAATTCTTGCATTTCTTCCCCATGATATTGCCATTGAATTGATATTGCCCAATGCTGAATGGCAGAAGATTTTAGAGGTTTTTTTCCTATTTAAAACAAATGACCCAAAGGCTACAGGCAAAAAAAAAAATTAAGTACTCAGGTTTATTCTAGATGAGGTGAAAATATTAATGTCCTAGTTCATTCTTAAATAATAATAAACAGTGCTGACAACTAGAAACTGTGGGCTTTTAGTATACAGTGATTTGACTRCATCCATAAAAGTAGTTAGCAGTTTTCAGAAGCTACTTAAAGCAGATTTATTGACAACTGGGCTTAAGTGACTTTAATAAACACAGATTACTGCACAATCTCTGGGTTATAAGTGGTTCCACTAATTTAACTGTAACATTTATTTCTCTGGTTTCATTTTTTYCTTCRTGWAAAAATTCACCAATTATAAWCTCATCCATACTACAGCATACAACCTGCATTAACAATCCACTTCATATCCAAAAATAAATACAAGTGCAAGCAGTTAATTAGCAAACATGCAGTGCAAAAAGCTCCCACCATCGACTTAGTTAAGTGACATATAACCTAAATAAATACAAACAAAAACAAAAACTCAAATCTGCTATATAAACAAACGAGTAGGAGTCATACATGGAGTTTAGTGAGATCCCTTTCTCCTCATTTAAGGCAGACAAGGAACCAGCTCTTTGTGAAATGAACTGAAATGTGGAACTGCAAAGCTGTCAGAAGCAGATCTTGGAAAAGAAAAATCTGGGAACAGGCAGAATCTAATCATGACTAGTGAGATATCTTTGAATAGGTGGTGATTCTGTAAAAACTGTGACTTAGAAACAAATCAAATCTTAATAATTCAACAGCTTGAAGTGAAYAGCAAGCATCCAAATTCAGGTCGAATTTGCAAAACAGATTCAGGAAAAGCCGAAGCAAACCTTAAGCTTGCACCACAGGAAACCAACCGGTGGAGCAAATATTTTTCATTTTATGTCCCTTCTAATTAACTGTGAGTGCACACTGGAAGCAAAAGCAGATACATCCCTGACCAAATTCAACATGGAAAGTTTTAGGCAAGACTAACTTTCGGTGAAGGAGAGGCAGAAATGGAACAGTCACATCTTCAATGGAGAGAAAATATCAAACAGAATGAAAGAATGGAAAGTAATTACTTCTTCCATATATCATATTTCTCATTACCTAAGGAGTTTGTCAGTAAACTTTACCTTTCTCACAATGACTYCCAGTGAATCCAGAAGGGCAGAGACATTTGTTGGGGGCTACACAAGTTCCACCATATCTGCACCCTTCTTCACAGAACGCTGCAAGATAAAAGGAAAAGGTGAGTCATACTTCATTTCTTTTTAAACATACATTTGTAGGATAATAAGCAAAACATCTAAACTCAAGCAATTAACAGAATTCAGCACATTAAAATTCAGTCCACCTGCAAACACAAAGAGAAGTAACTCACTAAAATGACAAGAAGAAAAATCTCACATTACACTGCAGGCAAACCACCTCACCAATAAAAGATTAGTGACCATCTGGAAGAAGAAGAGAGGAAAAAATACATTGTATAATTTTAATGGGGCTGATAATCTTTCAATTAAACCAAATATGCATATGACAACCATAATGCTGTGTTAATCCACAGAAAACAGGCTGGTCAGATGGTGTTAAATACTGTGTGCTTTGCTTCTACTGCACCAGAATGTCTGTAAACACACAGTATTTTGCTTTTWAAATTTTTATTTCCAAGTGTAAAGTATGTTTCATGGAATTGAGAGATCAAACAGMGTGAGGGTCATGACTGAAATGGTGAGAAGGGCTCAACTCCAACACAATGCCTCTCCTGAGGTGTGATTGTTGATGGAGCAATAGTGAAGTACTTTAGAAGTGTATCTGGCCAATAACCAGGATCTGAAGCAGCTGCTGGATCTCCTCTTTTCCTCTGAGCGCTCTGTGATGTTCCTTTTGCTCACAGCCAGCTTGGCAGAAGCGTGCAAGAAGTCTGCTTACTGTTAATGTTACCTTTTTAAATTTCTTTTTGTGTGATCAAGCCGTGGAACTGTGGTCAGGAGAGGAGAGGTCAAGCACCAGGACACTTCCCTACTTTGTGCTTCACTTCAGCAAAACCTTTGCTACAGCCAAGCCCTACCCCTGACACACTCCCTCCCCTCCCAAAATTTACTGAACTTCACAAGTGACTGAGTGGGTCTGACTGCACTTAGGAGAGAAGTCACAATTAATATTTAAACAGCAGCTCKCTGCATCTAAGCTAATAACAGATTTGCAAAGTGTTCCCTGCAAGCTAAAATMACAGATGGAGCGTTGGCAAAGAGATGTTACAAATGCTATGAAAAGGCTTCAAGTGCTAGATAACAGGAGAAATGTTTAAGATTTATTTTCCCATGCACTAAAAAGAAAAATAAAGYGAACAGAGTTCTAGGCATTAAAAAGAATTTTTTTTGCAACTGTTAACCACTTAGAGGCAAAAAAGCAGATGATTGTATCTCATGACTGAACTGACACRCATGCCTGCCTTGCTGTAAATACATAATTCATGGCATGCCATGCTGTTTCATGGAGAAAAATGCTGAAGTGCTTCAGAGAAGACACAGCAGAACATCAGCAGCACTCCTGGAGCAAGGCAGTGGTGTGGAGAAAGCACAGTCACACTTCCTCCTCATCAATRCACACACTCCATATGGGAATCCTCTAAAATACATCTATTCTGGAGCCAGCCAATTTCTGAATGAGGAGAAATATGGCTTAAGAGTAGTATTTTATTTTTTTGCATATAAATATTTGTAAGAAAGTGTAACTCTGCAGAAAGTACTGGTATGAAATACAACTCAAAATATATAAAACCTATGACAAGACTAAAAGGATTCCTTCCAGAGCTCTTGAAAGAATGTTTACCCACTTCTAGTCTCAGCATTCTCAGAGAAGGTGCAAGGTAAATCCTACATTTACACATTTTCTGGTTTGAAATTGTGAGTAAACAGAGACTGTTGTGAAGCAGTAGTACATTTCTGCACAACATCAAAAGAAGCAGAATTTGTGGCAGAGMAGACATGAAGGAAAAATAAAGAAAAATATTGGCACAAACCATGAATAGTTCATCCTTGATATAYCCCACATTACACTGGGAAAGAGCTACATGAGGATCTTCAAAGAAWTTGTAAAGGGCTTAAAAAAGATGATGTTTGTTGTGTATAGCAATTATTCACAGAATGTTATTGGTGCTGATAGAGATGGGAAGGTAAGAGAGCTTCAGCTGGAGCTCTCAGTGCTTTCTTTGTCAGAATAATGGGTACTACCAACTCAGTAACATGAAATACCTGCTTCTGAAAATAAATCCTGTCAGGAGGGCAGCAGAGTAAGGTGATSTTTTCTACTATTCTCTTTCAGGATTTCTAGCAAGGAAAGGCTTATGAGACAGGGCTGGTCATGTAAAAGATTTTCCCCTTAGAACTTCTGTGTTATGTCAGTGCACTGGCCAAAATCTTTCTATTCCTTCCCACACMTATACCTCCTCTGTTCATGTTCAAACGTGCTAGCACTTACTTTTATCCTTATATCTCACATCTTAGCAAATTGTAGGGAAAAAAAAAAACCCCAAACCTACAGTATCTGTTCAGGGACACCCTGAGGAACTGTTGCACTACAGCTTGCTGTGAGAAAATGCTATGAAAAAGCTTCAAGTGCTAAATAACAGAAGAAACAATTAAGATTTATTTTCAAATGCACTAAAAAGAAAAATAAAGTGAATAGAGTTCTAGGCACTAAAAAGAATAACAATTACCAGTTGCTCAGGTGACTCTGCCCTGCCCAGGAGTCACCCAGATGTTGGATGAAGATGAGGAAGAAGCTGACTAACGGCTGTAGGACAGAATTCAACTCTCCTTTTCAATTTTTGAGGATGCTGAAAGATCCTGCACAATACAGAYTAACTCTGCTTGTCTTTGTTGATTAGGCTTTGGTGGGTTTGTGGGATGTGGTTCATTCTTACATTTTTATGCAAGAGAAGAAAACCCCGAGGATGAGTGCCAGCATTATCCTGCTGCTTCCCAGATGGTTCCTCCACAAACCCTCTCACTCCTGCATCGTAGGCTTGCAGGAAACAGATCATCAAACCCTCAGAATACCATTWAAAAAATCACACTGAAGGCTACTGTCCTTAACTGCTAAAAAAGGAACTCGCAGTTCCATATGCAGTACTGAGAGCACTACTCTGAATATTAAAAATGCTCAAYACCTCTAATAATAGGTTTCAATTACATTTCAATACACAGTTTCACTCGCTAGCAATTTTACCAAACTTCACTTATTTGAACTCTTCTCTCTAATAGTCCTGCCTCTGGCTGAAGCCTTTTAGAACATTTTTCTCCAAATTAATTCATTTCCAATAATGAGATTTTTCTTTTATCGCATTAGCGGAAGAAATTAAATAAAATCCTTCCATTCCCTCTCTACCTCTGCCTGATGGACAAGAGAACCCAACAGGGAGCAGGTCAGTGACTGAGTAGGAAACCTGCTGTCTCTGAAATTATCTGCAGGCTGGCAACCTTGATAAAAAGGAGAGCAGTTACTGAATTTACCATAAATGTTTTATCAGGAAAATTAAGTGAAGATGCCATTGGGGTAAAGTCTACACAAGTAAACTTGCATTGTTTAGAGGATTATTCAGTATTCTGCATGGAAAAGAAACAATCTATGGATTTCAGGAGGCTTCTGCCAAAGGGAACAGATCTCTYCAAAGCCAACAGATTTCTTCTTCCAAAATAAAAGCCTCTATTATATAAAGACCTTTCCTAAATAGACATAATTTCTCTGCGAAGGAGGAATTTTATTTTTGATGCACATCCTCTTTGATGATGAATCTGCAGAGAACAGAAACAGCCAAAAATATAAGTCTGCTGACATGTCATTTTTGTGATGATGTTGGAGGGACGGGGGAGTCTCACTGCAGAAAGTCTCACTGCTCCACAAAGAGCAGCATGAAAGCCCCACGCTCCTGGACATGCACARCGTGCATTATTCTGCTTTTTGGATGGTAACACAGTACACTGCCCCACTGGGCTACCATGGCAAAGCAGATGCTGAGCGTGGAACCCTCAAATTTAGCAAACACTTCTCACTCTCAAGTGTGATACAGTGGATATTTATTATTATATTACAACATTATTAATAATATTATATATTTATAATTATATTATAACAAAACTTTTATACTTGAACATATAAAAATACTTTCATAAAAGAAAATAAATAAATTAAACCAAATAATTATTCCATAAATTTAAAGGACTGTKATTCAACTCTGAAGAGATACAAAGGTCACCTTCCCAAATAAATCATAAATATTCAGTATGATTTTTTGATATACTAAATGGATGTGAACAAAGGGACATGCAAGGAAGGCAAGGAAGGGGTCAAGCACAGACTGCCTGGGTAAACAAAAATAAGCATCTTTGGAAGAGAGATGGGCTCGTGTGACTAAATGAGGAATTTGATAATCAATTGATGGGAGGACGGCAGTTTCATTAGCTGATTGGATTTACTCAGACAAGCACACACAGGGTGCAGTTGGTGACAATCCAACTCTGGAAGCCTGAACAACAATCAGAAGACAACAGCAGCTCAGGAGGGTTTAGAGACAGCTGAGAAAGTGAAGAGAGAGCACACAAATAAAATCAGGGAGCAGCAGAGGCTCAGCTCCTTTTCTCTGTACTCAAGTGTGACACTACCACCCATAAAAGCACAAAACTCTTTTTGGTTCAGTGAACTACATCCATGGGACACAGGGCACGACTTATTTCACAGCCAGTCTGCCAAATGCCACCACAGCCCTTTCACAGCTGGCTGGAGGCAGAGAAGGGCAAATCTGGCAGGAATGAACTTTGGGTGAAAAACCATCCCAGAAAATGTTCTTCCCATGTGCTGGAGCAAAAAGGGGAATGTGGGTCAGTCTGGCAGTCAGGATGCAAACACATCTGAGACTGGAAGACAAACCCTCAGCTGAGCAGTCTCACTTTTGTGAGGGGTTTCCAACACAATTTATACTTTTGATTTTTTGTGTTGTATGTAGGAGGGTTATTCACTTCAGGAAAAGCCTATAAATCTCAGGTCTTCTATGAGCTGATTGTAAAGTTATTATTCCTGAATTATTTTTCTAGAAGAGGTACTTTGCAAATGTAATTAGCACTACTGCTGCCTAGTGCAGTCAAAATCCCAAATCCTGGCAGTACAAGATGGGTATGAGAGCTAAGTCTGAACAAAGATCAATGAATTCAGAATTTAGGCTTGGGGATGG